AGAGAGAGAGAGAGAGAGAGAGAGAGAGAGAGAGAGAGAGAGAGAGAGAGAGAGAGAGACTTCCTCACGAATACGACAGGCGACGGCCGCTTCCTCACGACATCGACAGGCGACAGGCGTTTACAGACAACGACGGGCACGGGCGCTTTCCCAAAACAGAACGACGGGCGACGTGCGCTTCACGACAACTACAAAAGACAAGATAGACTCCGTTGAAACTGCGCTGCGCCGAGTTCGGGCTACCCGTTGAAAAGGGGCGGGGTCTGGGCCATCGGGCCCTACCGGGTCGACGCCCAGGGTCTTTTCTTTTTCTTTTCTTTTTTTGCTGGACGCCCAGGGTCGATGCGTTCCTACGATCAGAACACCTCGCCGATCCAGGCCGTTGGTCCGGTAGGGCCCGACGATCCATATCACAGATTCGCTACATTCTTTCGATGATCGCATCGATCCAGGCCGTCGGTCCAGCTGGGCCCAACGGCCCAGATCGCAGATTTGTTACAGTCTTTCCACGATCTGGGCCGTGGACCAGTAGGTCCTACGACGGCCCGGATCTTAGATTTGTGACGCTAGCGATTTTAACAGTGTAGGGACCACCGAAGTTGCACCTAGGTGTGTGTTTGGACAGTGTCATTTGCATTCGTGTGTAAAGACAAACAGACACGAGTTTATATCCTGTAACAGGACTAGGCCATTACAAATGAGAGAGCTGTATAAACTTTAAAGGGAAGGGTAATGCTTGCAGCCCGGAGGCAATAAGCAGCTCCAAGGCAGGAAGCCAAATGACCGTAGCCCCCAGACACTGTATGGCAACAATGTTTGGGCAGGATGCTGGACCCGGTTTCCTGAAGGTGCCGCTCCCCACCAATAGATGGAGCAGCCCAATTGACAAGCCCTCAATCCTGGCGGTTCTCTTACCACTGCCAGGATAGTGGACTTGAGAAAGGGCCTTTTTTTTAATTTTTATTAAAAAAAAAGAAAACAAATACTCAGAAGCATACATGTGCATCTCATCATCTTCCTGCCGCGGCAGCGCCTCAACTTGTCAACATAAATACAGAATAAATATCCATCACAATACTAAAAGCAAAGCCAGTGTGGGCATACAGGATGCACCTTGGAGGAAATATGAGCCCGGCCACACGGTTATCAAACCGCTCGTCCGGACTGGTCCAGGGCAGGGTGCCCATCGTCTGACGCGCCCCGGTCACTCTCCGAGTGCTTGAAAAGTTCGCACTGTGCCCCAAAGAAAGACTTCGCAAAGTTCGCGCCATGCAGCACAATTGTTTTTTTTTGGCACTGCAAAGGTGCACACTGCACACACCTGCTTTCCTGAACCATAGTGAGCCTCTGCCCTTACACATAAACCATAAATGTGAATCTACTATATAGTATATAGTATATAGTTTAGCGTACAGTTCCCCCCCCCCCCTTTTTTTATACATACAGATAAAAACAGCAAGAAACAAAGCTAGAACATTCTAGAAACCAACGCGGAAACCGGTGGAATTACCTTGTGCAGGCTTGGGATCATCTTGAAATGAGCGTTTCGAAAGATGTCGTCTCCATGTATGAACCTGTGAAACAAGCAACCTTCTGGGATTGGCTTCTCGCACACATAGTATGTTATGGCGCTATAGCATGTCGAACCTGGAACCTTCAACGAATATTCAACACAGCAGCAGGGCATCAGCTTCCACTCACGACCACGCACTGCATTGAGCGATCCCCAAGAACCTTCGACACAGACTCCCATAACCTTTCTGGAAAACCCAGACAAAACAAAACAATAACAAAGTAACAAAAAAAACAAAAAACACAAGGGAAAAAAAAAACACAAGAAGAAAGAAAGTGTTTGGGCTATGTATGGAAAGGCTACTTTGCATTCTGAGCAACGCACTCCGGTTCCTCTTCCACAAAATTTAATCTTTTTGGAAACAGTGACTGTTTTATTGTGGAATCCGACCTGTTATTACTGTAAGCCCGTCAGATAAATTCAACAGGCCATGTACGACGACGCGTTGTTATAGTGTTGCGGAATCCGACCTACTTCTTTTCTTTTTTGTTTTTGCGGGGGGGGGGTGGGAGATCCGACCTGCTTCATTTTATTATTATAAATTTATAATATTATTATGTTTTTTCTTTTTTTTTTTGGGGGGGGGGGGGGTAATCCGACCTCCTGCTTCTTTTTTGGGGGGGGGGGGGGGGGGGGGGGGGGGGGAAGGAATCCGACCTGCTATTACAATAGGCCAGTCAGATAAACTTCACCAGGCCATCTACGACAGCGCGTTGTTATGGGTACTGCTGCGCCTTGGAACTGGTGGTTAATGGCTGCTGCTGGTGGCGGCAAGCATTGTCAGCTCTGCACTGCATGTGGCAGTGTTGTTGCTGCTGTTTTTGATTCTGGCAGCAATGACAGATATTCAAAGTAAGTTATGACTCTTCGAGTCCTCTTGCCGTTTTCCCACAAACAACACATAGGACCCCATATATTCGTCTGTGACCCGAATACAGATATATATACTAATGACCTCATTGACTTGCCAATTTTGTCCGAGAAACATGGCAGTCGTAGTGCTATTGGTGTCGTCCCAAAACATAGTCTTTCCTATCTCGTCCCCTTTCGCAGGCAGCTCTTCTGTAGGCAATGAACAGGAAGCAGACTTGGTCTATTCTTTTTCTTTCTTTTTCTGTTTCAGAACTTCTTTGGCCTGGCTCAGGGCATACTCACACTAGGACTTTTTTACTTATTTCTGGATGGAATTGTGGCCAGATGCATACAGGTGGTCGAAATTGCGGTCCGATGCATTTTGGAAAGTGCTAGCTGTCAGTAGGCACACCCATGAACTATTTGAAATACAGACCCAAGTTCGAATCCAGATGGAATCATGGAATTGAACGAGTAAAAAAAACTATGAATTTACCTCGAGCCCGTCAGCTAAAAAAGAGTGCACATCTCAAGGCTGTTGCCTTTTCAAACCACCAGTACCTTTCCCCCAGCTATTTTTTTTCAGAGTCGCTGCACCTACTACCTACATTCAGCCACGACTCTCGGGAAAGTACCGGGGCCCCGTTTCGCTGGAGATATCCATACAGCCAAAACGGGTTGTGGCATGCAACGCCCGGTTTGCCTGGGGATGGATGTCCAGCGAAATGGCACCCCGGGACTTCGACGAAAGATTCGGCCTTCCGTATACAAGCCGCATATTTGTTTTTCAAGCAGGGAAAGGTGCAGGTGGTGGTCTAACCCACCAGCGCAACCGCGCCTGGCGGCGCCCTTTTAAAGCAACCAACCAACGTAAGACCGGCAACTTGTCACAAGTGGATAACGAAATGATAATGACATGATAATTGGCCATTGAATCAAACGTAAGGAAAATGTGAAAAGGAACCTAATCATATATTATTTTAATTTGTTTATATAATTTTATAATAATATAAATTATATGATATTAATTAATTGAAAAAAAAAGAACAATTCCCCATCTTAATCTGATCTGAGGTAAGAGCAATGTAGCTGCACTGTTCCACACAATTCCTGTACATTCGTTTTCGTCTCACCATCGATGAATGACTGCTAAGGATACGTAAGTCCTTAAACGTTGATGCCACTTAAAATTCGTGAAACCCATGAATGGCTGCAAGCAACGCACAAACTCTCTTTCTGACTGCAAGCCTTATATTTATATATACCGCCAACAGAACTGCCTGTTGGGTAAACCGTCGGCAGAGAGGGAGGGAGGGAGAAGAGGAAAACAAACGAGGGGCTGTGACAAACTGTTTCGTCGGAGTTTCACCGACTCGTCTGTTGGCAAGCACAAGGAGGATAAGGGAACCCTAATTTTTTTCACATCCATGCTTTGGTAATTATAAGGATGGATTGATTTATTTAATTTATTACATCCTAAATGGGGGTAGGGAATCGAAGTGCACCCTCCGATGTATTGACCATTAAACCGCCGGTACATGGCCCCATCCTTGCTGAAAATGCGACTCGTCACCTACGGAAATCCTCGGAGGCTCGGCCTTCCTGACCACAATGGCTGGCGTCGCCAGCCGAAAAAGAAAGAAAGTGCGCCACTGGCCGTTCAGAAAAGCTTGGTGCGCAGTAAGGCGCCTCCAGGCCCGGGTGTACTTACTGGTGGTTTAAACAGCAACAAATGAGCATCCGAGAGAAAACAAGCAGCAGGGTCGTGGTTCATCTTAAGAAGAGCAGCAGGTGCGCATCCGCACCTCCCTCCCCCTCCCCCCGCCCGTCAACCCTTCAACCCCACAGCCATCTATACATAGCTCGACGAATAGCCCCCTCATGCTAAACAAGGGATTTGAAGAAGGGTGAATGAACAATCCTTGACATCCTGCGGGGATGACGGTGACCATGTAACCTTCCGGGAATGTTGAGTTTTATAGTGACCAAAATCATCAAATTAATAAATTATTCAAATAACAATTTTTCGAAATAATTTATGAAAGAAGAAAACTGCATGATGCGATTTCTCGTGTGAATGCGGAACCTTCCGGCAATCAAACTCGCGTTCGCTTGCACTTCACATACATGCAAACAGATGGCGTTTCACACTGGCGCGCAGCGCCCACACCAAGCTCAGAGATATGGCAACCAAGAACACAGTTCAGATGTAAACTCGCTTCAACAGACTATGGCGCTTCAGAGCCTGTACATCACAACTCTCGTCACTGTGTTCGACACCACCGTTCACCCGCACTCAACTCTGGATCACCCTGAATACACCCATGCACACTCACTTGTACACGTTCACTAACCTCTAACACTACAGCGGCTATGGCCGCTCTACTTCTACTAACTATGACTACGTTGTCTCTCTTCAGCCCACTTCGTCGTCGGGCAACCTGCAGACCACCTTCGCACAAGACGCTGTAGCAGCGCTTCCACATGGCTTACGCAGCGAATGAATGAATG